CATTGTGCTCCTGGGGAACCTGTACATGAAGCAACCAAGGATACTGCCTGGTTGAAACTTAGAGAAGATGTGAGTCAGGGTTGTATTCTTTCATCATACTTATTCAACCTGTAAACAAACCAAAAACAACTCACTTCCATCAAGTCAATGCTGACTCATAGCGGCCCACTGTGGGTTTCTGAGACTGTAACTGTTTATGGCAGTAGAAAGTCCAATCTTTCTCCCTTGGAGCTGCTGGTAGTTTCAAACTGCTGACTCTGCGGATCACAGACCAACAAGAAACCACCACGCTACCAGGACTCCTATTCAACTTATATAGACTGAGCTAATCTAGGAAGCTAGACTGCCTCAGTAAGAGGAAGCATCAGGACTGTAGGAAGACTTGCTAACAACCTCTGATCTACAGATGACACGACCTTGCTTGCTAAAGTCAAGAAGCTTTGAATACTTACTGATGAAGATCAAGGATGTCAGCCTACAGTATGGACTGCATGTCAGCATAAAGAAAACAAAAGTCCTCACAATTGGACCAATAGGCAAAGTCATGATAAGTGGGGAAAAGAACGATGTTGTGCATTTCATTTTACTTGGCTCCACAACCAGCATCCATGGAAGCAGCAGTCAAGAACTCCAAGAACTTTGCTGCTGGGGGAGGGAGAGAGAAAAGAGGAGCTGATACCAAGGGCTCAAGTTGAAAGAAAATGTTTTGAAAATGATGATGGGAACATATGTACAAATGTGCTCGACGCAATTGATATATGGAATGTTACAAGAGTTGTAAGAGCCCACAATAAAATGGTTTATTAAAAAAATAAAAGAAAAAAGAAATCCAACTTTGCATTGTGAAAATCTGTGCAAAAAGACCTCATTAAAGCACTCAAAAGCAAAGATCCACTTTGATGATGAAGGTGTGTCTGGCCCAAGCGATGGGATTTTAACCACTTCATTTACATGCAAATGCTGGACAATGAATAAGGAAGGCTGAAGAATTAATGCCTTTGAATTGAGGTGTTGGCTAGGAATATCGAATATACCATGGACTGACAGGAAGGTGCACAAGTAGCTGGACTGCTTCCTAAAAGGGAAGATGGCAAGATTCTGTCTCATGTACTTTGGACTAGAAGGGACTAGTTCATGGAAAAGAACTTCACACTTGATAAAGTGGAGGGTCAGCAAAAAAAGAGGAAGACACCTAAGAAGATTGATTGACGCAGTTGCTGCAAGCAGGGAGTGAAACAGTGAGGACTGCGAAGGTGGTGCGGGAGGAGTCAGTGTTTCATTCTGTTCTAGAGGGTTCTATGCAGCAGAATCTACTCGAGGGGTCCTAACAGACAATTGCTGAATAATATTCCATTGTGCAGCAAATCACATTTTGTTTACCAGTCTTTTTTTAAAAACATTTTTGTTTTGTTTTTTCTTAAAAGATCACTTTATTGGAGGCTCTTGTAGCTCTTATAATAATCCACACATCAATTGTATCAAGTGTATTTGTACATATGTTGCCATCATTACTTCCTAAGCATTTACTTTCTATTGAGCCATTCATTTTTAATGGGTATTGAGTTGTTCTTAAATTTTAGCTATTAGGTGAGCATTATTTTCTCTAAAGCAATGCAGAACTGTAAGTTTGCATTGTAGGAAACACAAATTCCTATTGAGTATTCCAAGTTTCTGATAACTTCCATTAAAAAAAAAGTGTGTCTCTATCTGGGGAAGGCGCTTCGGTTTTGTCTCTGCTAGTACTGACGCCATAAGCCAGTGTTGACAGGCACTGCTTTCTGGGTTACTGTCTCTGATACTCATCTGTCCCCGTTACCTTGCACACTAGCACTCTTTGCCTGAGTTTCTAGTCCAGGGCGATCAAGTTTGTAGAGCACTGATTTCTGACACCAGGCTAATCGTAGCTAGGCTTTTTTGGTAGCTAGGCTTTTTGCAGCACTCTTTGGCATGCTGCATCCTTACCACATGGACTAGACGCAATCACCCAGAATTTAAATCTTCCATGTATAATTTATCAATTATTATACCTCTGGCAAGTTGCTTCTGCTCTCAGAAGATGCCTTGTATATTAAGGTATGGGGAATTATTCCTACCTTCAAAGAAATGATTAGTAAATGTGTAAATTTAGTCAAACAGCACTCACGACTGATGGGACTCTCAGTTCTACTCATAGACCTGCTTCCCACTTACATCTCTGAGTATGATCCTCAAATACCACCTTTAGACCTGGTGTCACTTGAGTTGCCTTTCTGCATTCTAGCCTTTAATGGGCTCCTGCATGGTCTCCAGTCACTCAAATAAGAACAATACTTGCTATATGAGAATGCCCCTTTGCTTTAATTTGATTCTGACCCATAGCAACTCCATGCGTGTCAGAATAAACGATGTTCCTTAAGTTTTACAAAATGGTTGATTTTTTAAGAAGTAGACCACCTGGTTTTTCTTCTTTACAGTGTCCTTATCTGAATTATATGACTCCCACAGAAGTCTTACAAATATCTTACTTTCTAATTTCTTGGTAAATACTGTATTTTACAACTCTGGATAGTCTACCTTTGCATTCTGCCCTTGTCTTTCTAACTTATCTGGAAATATTTACTTACCTTGATGATCAAGTCAGTTCACCATTTTCTTTTTCTAAGCTATCACTTGGTGCTTTATTTCATTTTCCCCCTCCTGAGAGACCTCTGACGTCTAAGAGGACCTCTTTTCTCCATCACCCTTACACCTCACCCCATTTTCTTATATATATATAAAAGATTCCACAGTATCCTGTTACAGAAAATAAATTGGGAGACAACCTTAGGTCCTAATTCCAATTCCCTAACTTAATAAATGTGTGATTTTCACCAAGTCATTCAACCTTCCTGAGACCCAGTTTTTTCATCTGCAAAATTGATATTAATAGAATCTGTCAACTTCAAAGACTGAAGGTCAAATGCAGTAATGTAGGTGAGTATGCCTTGAAAACTTTAGTTCTAAATTAAAAAAAAAATTAAAGATAACTTTAGTTCTATATAATGCATATGATATTATAGATTCCACAAACAGACTGTGTAGCATAGTGATAAAGATGCAAAGACTCAAATGTAAATGGCCAGAGATCGATGCAAGAATTTATATCCAGTTCAGGATATATCAGTTAGAACAGCACTTCTCACTCTCAGCCATCAATTCTGACTCATAGCTTTTCGGAGGCTGTAAACCTTTATGGATAGATAGCATCCAGAGGAGCTCTGGTGGGTTCAAACTGCTGACTTGTGGTTAGCAGCCCAACAGTAACCTACCATAGCACGGGCCGCCCTAACAACCCTTGTGATTCTTGGGTTTTGTTGTTGTTGTTGTTTGTTTTGGGGATCACATCTTATCAATATGTACTACATATGATGTTGCGGTGCTTAATTTACTGATGTTCACATTCTGTGATTTGTAAAGACACTCATCATAATAAGAGGCAATAATAACGGAGTGGGGCAGATATTCAATGCAGGCTAATTAATGTTGCCCTCGGAACGGAGCCTGCTGTAAACTGAGAACTATCAGCATGCTGGGAAATTCCTAATCGAGAGGCCAAAGGGAAGAGTGGAAGGGGGCACTTTGGAAATGCTTTTCTAGATGTGAGAAGAGAAACAAAAAAAGGAAAGAAAATGATGATTGCAACAGCCACATCTACCAACGCTGAGGTTTGCTGATTTCGGAACATGGCTCTCCACATCTGGCTCCATAAGCCTAGGATGAGCTCACATACAATCCCCTTGGCTACTGAGCGCGAGGTTGATCCTGTGACCACACAAAAAGCAAAGGGAAATATCATCTTTGGATAAAGAAAACCAGACCTCCAATTGGAATGGAAAGGTGTGCCTGTCAGCCAGGAGGCGTGCTGTAGAAGAGGTTCCACTGAGGCACGGGAGGGAATCAAGCAGCTCCAAGCCCAGATGCTAGCAGGTGGGCGCTTTCCAAACAATAACAATCCAAAGCGCATAAACACCATGTTTCTCAACCCTCCAATGCACCACA